GTAATGACCTCTATCCCTTAATTGCTTGAGGCAGGAGTATGACTAAGACTTAACGGTTCTACTTCTTCTTTTGCCAAATCTTGTTTGCTTTCCCCAGAAAAAGGGAATAAGGTGAAGAGAGATGAACAAAACATCAAAATGTTAAACAGGAAGAGGCAGGCCCTTTTTCACAGGTGTCAATGCTTAACACAGAGCCTACCTACTGAATTCTGTTTAGCCACTTCCTGTTGGAAGAAAAAACCTTCTACAGTTGGTAATGGAAGAGGTCTGAAAAAGCAGCTGATACCTTGGGAACTGGAACACTTTCAGCCCAGCTGCAATGAGGAGCCCATCTCTGAAAAGTGGAACTCAGACATCTCTGTGCATAAGGTAAGATGTCCAATTATTGAAACTCTCCACTGGAGGAGGAGGGTATGTAGTAGTTGGTGAGAAGTGTTTGAGAAATACTGGACAAATATTAACTACAATGACAATGGAAATAGATGGCTACTGCTAATCTCTACCTACCCTAGAGCAAGATAATGAAAGGTGGTGGGCAATGGAACACCAAGCATGAAAGCCAGTGGACTTTTCTAGAAGTGGGCAGAAACATTTTTGTACCTCGGGAAGGCAGAGGAAGCTGAGGACCAGACTTTAGTTGTGCAGTAGAGCTCCACATAAGGTCAAATGCTTGTCAGAGGGAGAGCAAAGCTCAAACCCAGGAACCAAGGTTTGAGAATCCAGCAGTTGAAAGAAGATGTGACGCATGGTGGGGATATTGGTCATCCTTTATTTGGAGGTAGCCATAGTCCTTGGCCAGCCCCCCAAGCTATTTTTATAGACCCGTTTTATGTACAGTTCAAATAAGGCACATTGCCAACAGGTTACATAAGGGGAGATGCATTTTCGCAAGTTAATATTTATGACCTTGAGTATATATGCTGAATCAGTGTGTTTCTGGCCCTGATAAACTGTAACGTAGATGGTTCCTAGCCCTGGCTACACTAAAAACAACATAAAACAACATAGCCTGCTGGAAGTCTTGGTGAAGGGGCCTAACTATAGCCATTTTGAGCCTGCCCCAAGGATGCTCAACTAGATTAGGCAAGTTATGCCAAGATCAGAGTCCCATTTGGAAGTCTTGGTGAAGGGGCCTAACTATAGCCATTTTGGGCCTGCCCCAAGGATGCTCAACTAGATTAGGCAGGTTATACCAAGATCAGAGTCCCATTAGAAAAAAATGAGTCTGTCCCCTCCCCACCCCGCTCCAGCCCCCGACAGGGACCTGGACACCTGAAAAGAGAATACCTAGGTGGGTGGCTCTGAAATATTTGCGTCCAGAGTCTTTTGAACTCTGAAAATACAGGAGCAGCCCATCTTTCTTGCTTGAATGTAATGCAGAATCCTTTCCCCCATAAAATATCAGATATTCTTCAGGATTTACCTTTACCCCTTGTTATATGACTGCAGGGCATATTATTAGCCATCGTAGCATAACCCAGCCAGGGATGGGCCTGTTCTAATAAGGCCTAATCCTTGAAATAAGTTGCATATCCTAGACACTGTGTATTGGCAAGTGTTGAAATAGAACCTAGGGATCTGAATTCTGAGTGTACTTAATCAGAAGGTCACAAAATAATATTGGGCAGAGTAGAATTTCTAACTTGAGAGTATTCTTGTGAAATGGGGTTTATTTACTTGGTAAGCATTCCAGGTGATGGTGCATAGTCACTACAAGATGACTCCTAAGTGAAGCTGAGATACCAGAATTCCATAACATTAGGTGCACCTAAAAATTCAGAGATGTGGACATACTAGAGTGCATAAACTTTTTAAGTCCAGGAGTCTTATCAGATGATTATTATCTATGGGGAATCTACAAAACCCAACATTTACTGCAGTTAAATTCCTTGAGCAGAGTCCAGCCTCCCATTATCCACCAGTGTTAGACTGTTGACCTTACTTAGGCTCACATCTATGAAGAGGTGACAGAGGAGCAAAAAATTTAGGTTTGGTTTCTGGATGGGTCAACTGAGTATATGGGTATATACCAAAAGATGGATGGCAACAGCTCTTTGTTACTAGGAATAGTGTTAAAAAACAGGGAGAGAAAATCCTCCCAGCAGGTAGAGTTTTGGCATTGCCCTAGACCATATTGCTGGGAGCTATTAGCCAAGTAGGTATGACAATTTCCTTGCCAGCGTACCCCATGTTGCTTAGTGGAAGGACTCGTGGAAATAGGACATTTTGCAGTGACATTGCATGTAGGTGACCTTGCTCAAGGACCAGGGCGGATTAGGGTGTTCCCGGTTTAGGATAATCCTGGTTTAGGTTCCAGGTTTAAGGTTTAAGATTATTCCTGCTGGGAATAGGGCGTATCCTGCTGCCTGAGTTCCCCTTGAGTTCTCACGGGATTCAGACAGTATTTTTTGGGAGACAGAAGCCCAGTGGATGTGGATTTGGGCAGAGAACGTGGATTTCCCCAGAACGTGATTATAGACGGCTGGTGTGAGTTCCGGAATAAAGAGTTGCTGTTTGAATCTACAAGCTGTGTGGTGGCTCGTGATTGTGTGCCCAGCCAGACTGCGGCACCATATGTCATCCACATGCCCCAGACCAGTTATCTACAATTTTCTCATCTTCTCCTGGGTCCTGGATAGATTGTTAGGTCATTTGCTACTGCCCTTGAGTATGCATTATACTAACACTGGGCCACTTCTTCTTCCTCACAAATAGGAAGACACACTTTGTAAAATTTATTTTGACCACCACCAACAAAAACAAACAAAAAAATTAGTTAACTTCCCTCTTTTAGTCACCCTAATTCTAAGCAAAGTTTGCTCATGTAGTCATAAGGAATTGCTATTGTAATAACTTCTACTCTCCTTTCATAATTAGGGGTATTTTGTTTCTCTCTCCTCCTTTCCTCCCTCCCCCTTCCTTTCTAACTTTCTCATACTGGGAATTGAACTCAGGGGTGCTATATCACGGAGTTACATCCCTCATTTCTTTTTTTTGTTCTGAGACAGCATCTCACCTTGGAGTTGGGATACTTTTGCCTCAGCCTCCCAAGTCACTGGGATTAAAAGGCATACTCCAGCATGCTCAGCATAATCATGAGCACTTTGTATACAATATATTACTGAAAAATGAGACTGAAATAACTGCAGGATGATAATTAACAAGCCTGACAAGTACAGTTTCCTTATTGCAATTTTCTTATAAATAATGAACTTGGGGGTATTGTTTTTCTCCACTAGTATCCCAAATTCTTATTGTTCTTTCATAGCTCTTTAAGTGTTCTGCTTCCTAAGCATTTTTATTCACTTTTGAGGGATGATTTTAAAAAGAAAACTGCACTATTAGAACACAAATAATATTTGGTTAATTGAAAAACTATTTTGCAGTTTCCTTAAACCTATTTTTCAAGGCAATTAATTTGTTAAAATCCTAGATGGCTGATACATCAAAAACAAGAAAACAATTTCATTCAATTTTAAACGTAACTCCTTTTCTCTCAAGTAAAGTTTTTGAACTACATTTTTTTGTAATTTACTTTGTCTGATTAACTTCAATCCAATCATTTATTTAAATTCAAATGCTATTTTAATAGAACTTTGCTTGATGTCTTCAAAATTTGTTTCATAAAAGTATATATTTCATTACCACCATGACAAAAAATACCATGTAAGTTTTTTTCCCTATTTACAGATAATAAAAATCAATATCATTGATTTAAAAAAATGATATTTGAAAATTCACTGAGTTATAGAACATAGAAATTAAAATTTAAACAAAATAAGAATCTAAGGGTTATATTTTTCAAATGAATTTTGAAGAAATGGTTGTTTTAAGAATAGAATGGGTTTATAAAAACAGTTCCTTGAAATTTCCCTTCTCTCTCCCTTTCCCTCCCACCTCTCATCCCTGTTTAATGTTAATCTTCTTCTCATGCTCTTCATCCCTACTCTGTTCTTAGTCACTCTCCTTATATCAAAGAAGACATTTGGCATTTGTTTTTTAGGGATTGGCTAGCTTCACTTAGCATAATCTGCTCTAGGAGACCCTCAGGGTTATACAAAATTACATACAAGAGGAAGTGAAGGGAAAGGGAAAAAAAATACAAGGGGGAGAAATGAATTACAGTAGAGGGGGTAGAGAGAGAAGAGGGGAGGGGAGCGGAGGGGGGGGATAGTAGAGGATAGGAAAGGCAGCAGAATACAACAGACACTAGTATGGCAATATGTAAATCAATGGATGTGTAACTGATGTGATTCTGCAATCTGTATACGGGGTAAAAATGGGAGTTCATAACCCACTTGAATCAAAGTGTGAAATATGATATATCAAGAACTATGTAATGTTTTGAACAACCAACAATAAAAATTAAAAAAAAATCAACTACAACAACAACAACAACAACAAAAAAAACAGTTCCTTAAATAATTATGGTATCAAAAAATTTGGTAGTACCTATAAAACATAAATTTCTTTAAAATGGTAAGAACATTATAAATGTTTATAGCATTATAATTGACATTTGTTTTATGTATAAGAAACCTCCTTCAAGGAAATAAAGTAAAACATAAAACCATGATCTGGATTTTCCATAGGTTTGTGGTAATTATTGGCAAAAAGTAAAACAAAACTATAAAAGTACCTGGAAATAATCCCTATATGTTGTTATGTTCAAGTGGAACAATTGAAAGCAGTGACTCAAAGCAGAGAAAATCTGTATCTTTATAAGAAATTTAATCAGTGTAAAATAAAATATGAAAGCTCTAATAATTATTCATAATTTATAATATCCTGAGCATATTCATTAAGACAGGGCCTTGTCTTGTAAGTAATGGGGTAATTTCCTTTAAGCATGGTAAGTTATTCATAGACAAATAGGAAAGAGGATAACAGAATTTTATATACATTTGTCAAGAATGTGTATATGTTTTTATGTTCTATAAATAAAACATTTTTTATATTGAATATTGAAATATTTTCTGGTGTCAATCAAAAATACTTTTTTACAACTGAACTCCTTCCATTATTAAAGATAGCTCAGTACTTTTTGTATTTAAAGGGCGAGATACAGGTTGTCTTGATAGGTGACTACATCTTTTTCTAATTTTCCCCATACAATTATTATACCTTTTAGGTGAACTAAGTTTAGTTTTACCCCAATTGATAATAAGATTTAAATCTTCTGGAAGTAAAGTATTTGATTTCCTGTTGTCTTCCCTTATTTTAGTACCAAGAGTCTTCTTTGGATCAAGGGTAATATGTTTACGGCTTTTGGCCATCTTTTGATTTTGACCAGCGTGGCACTTTTCATTGTTACATGGGCTTTCTATTCTAGTGGGACACATAATATTCTTTTTTGCAATAGAAGGAAGGAATGTTTGAGATATGTCTCCAAAAGATCCAGTGGGTAAATCTTGAAGATGCCTGGGGAAATGTTGGCTAATTTTATGTTTATAGATTAATTTTCTTGAATTTGAATCACTTAATTTGACTGAACATAGATCATCTATTGTTATGTTCTGATAAGTATCTATTGGACTTGGAAGTGTATGTAACTTTTCAAAACTACATTGAGATATGTTAGGTAAGATTCTAAGTTCATTTGTCTTTAGGACTAATCCAGTACCAGGAACAAAAAGTTTTGGTTCTTCTTGCTTTGACAGATGGGCGATGTCTGTGTTTGAAACAGACTGATGGGCTTGTCCATTCATTGCTGTACTGTTCCATAATAAAGGGTTATATATGACTTGTCCATCAATAGGGCATGAATTGCACTTGTGGAATAACCAATTGTCAATACACTTCCTATGAAACTTAAAACAAAAGATTATAAGTTAATTAGAGGTACAATTATCATGTTTAAAATCTGCTTTTTAAACAAAATTCCCCAGCTTCATAATTGTACATTAAAATTATTTAGAAAAAAATTGAAGGTAACTGTAATTTATCAAGTTTTATGAAAATATTTTGAAGTTTACTTACAAATGATTTATGGACTTATCTCCAATTTTCAATAATAAAATGCAAAGTCTTGTATGGATATCAAGTCAGTAAAAAATTCACCATTCAAGCTATTAATTTCATGCTATGTAATTATTTCTAGTGAATAAAAATTATTAGAAATTTTTAACCAATTGGAGTTAAAAATTGATCTGATAATAGTAATATGTAAAATAACAAATCACATTTTTGATTGTAAAAGGAGTTATCAGCTACTTGAAGTATGGGTGACCCCAAAGGTATTTATTGAAACAATTTTGTTTTGGGAAAAGCTTGGTTATCAACTAAATAGTAATAATGCAATACTAAGACTTTTATTGTAGTGAGTTTATGTGAAACAATTAACTATGTCATTTTAGGTATTTATTTCACCTAAAGGATTATAAAAATATATAACAAAATGTTAGCATTCTGTTTCTTTTTACAGATAATCAAAGCAGATAATGAACCTAATACCATTCATCTTTCCCAGACAGCATATACAGAAGTGAGTCCTAATCATGAGGAGGCAGAGTTGCCTTCTCAGAAATCCCTGCAGCAGCTTGTCTACCTCTATTGTGCAATCTGAACATCTCTGCACATAGTACAACTTAAAAAATGAAAGTAGAAACTTAAAATTGTCACTTTGTTTGTGAAAGCTGGTCCCATGGGGGAAGTCAAAATAAAATGATGTCACTTTACCTTATGAATACATGGTAGCAGTCTTACATGTTGACCAAGATGAAATGACTTCAAACAAAGTCGACACTGGTACCCTGGAGCAAGCAGCTTACTATTTTTTGTAATTAGTAGGAGAGGTAGTGACTTTACAACCTGTTTTGGTGTGTAAACCTGACTGAGGGAGAAAATGCAGAGATACCTGAATGTTCATATGTGATTATAGATCTGAAAGTAATTCATATTACAGATTTTCTACATAAGTAATGCAACAGAACCCAAGATTTTCTTGAACCAATGATAATAAATCTCATACATTGTAGAATTAAAAAGTCTATTATATCTATCCTGAAGATGATGGATCCAACAATATAAAGAATGAAGTTTAGTTAGTCTAAATATATATATATATAT